AGCCAATCCTGTGTGTAGTGTGATTTGTTTTAATTATTTTAATCGTCACTCCCCACCCAGGTACTGTTGGACTCTGCCGGCAGGCTCCTGCACCCCACTCGTAGAATCCTCTCCTTTCAGCCTGCTGAGTATCAAGGAGTAACAAGACTCAAAGCACTGTGTTTTACCTCACCTATGCTGAGTAAGATGTTGGAGTTTTGCTAAGGGTGTTGGCACACATCTTTAATCCAGAGGCAGAGGATCTCTGAGTTTGAAGTCAGCTATTGTCTACAGAGGGAGTTTTGGGACAGCCAGGGCTACACAGAGAAACCTTGTCTCCAAAGCAAAACAAAACAGATTTTATTTTTGTTTAAAGTGCATTTTCTATTTGGTTGGTTTTTTCTATTCTGCTGAACTGTAAATTACATAGCTCTTTAAGGGATTTTCCTCAAAAATTTGCCTTGCATACTTAAAAGCCTTTCTTAAATGATGTACCAACTGAAGTTCTCTGAAAAAAAAAAAATGGTGTCTGCTAGAAATTCTGCTGACCAATTCCCATGACTGCAGAAAACTGGAATGCTACAGATAAAAAGGCAAGATTATCTCAGGCTATCATTAGTCTTTTTAATGGCCATTTGCTGTTAACATCTGTATCTATAAACATCCTTTCAACAGGGGAAACATTTACAATGCCACTAGTTTCTATCAACCTGAAGGCTACAGATGTCATCAGATAGCAATTGAGACCTATAACAGAAACTTCTCTGCTTTGCTGCCTTCTCTCCACAACCTCTGCCCCATGCCTCCCAAGGATCTGATAAATGCATGATAATGCATGACAACTTTTCCTTTTCTACTCACAGAAAAAGTTGATGTAACTCTCCAGAGTAGAACATGTTGTTTAGGGAACCTGAATCTGTGTTTTTGGGTCATGGTCTCTCAGTTCCAGCTCAGAATGAGCTATTATTATTCTTTTTGGAGTGAAAACAGTGTTCTATATCAACAGGCTCTCTCTCTTTCTCTCTCTTTCTTTCTCTCTCTCGGGTGGGGGTAATGCTGAGACAGTGTTTCTTTGTGTGGTTCTGGCTGCCCTGGAACTCACTCTGTAGACAAGGCTAGCCTTGAAGTCAAAGTTCTACCTGCTTCTGCCTCCCAAGTTCGGGGATTAAAGGGTACACAACCATCCAGCTAGTGTGTCCACAGTCTTTTTTTTTTCTTTTTTAAATTAATTAATTCAATTTACATCTGTCATAGGCCCCTCCCTCTTCTTCGAGTTCTACCTTCCCTGCTGCATCTCCTCTGCCCTATTCCTCAGAATAAGGGAGCCCCCCATCATACCCCAGCTCATCTGTTCAAATGAGGACTGAGTTCATCTTCCTCCCCTGTGGCCTGATAGGGAAGTCCCATCAGGGGGAAGTGATCAAAAAGCAGTCCATGTCAGAGATATCCCCACTCCTCTAACTAGTGGGCCCACATGAAGCCTAAGATGCTCACTGGACTTATCTTCTTGGGGTCTGTGCATTGTAGTATGTCTATATGGCTAAAATCTGCTTATAAGTGAGTATATACCATGTGTGTCTTTCTGGGTCTGTGTTGTGTCAACAATCTTAATGAGAGACCAAAAGATAAATTAGCAGCTATTAATAAAGACCTGAAGTAAGTGGGTGGAGAAGTCCAGTGATGCCCTGAGGGGAAGGACCACCTTACTGCATTCTTTCTCCACCCAGTAGAGATACAGTTGTTAGGAAACTGGACCATCCCCCCCTAGGGAGGGACACCAGATCATTAATGGCCTGGGAACCTTCCTATAGCCAATTGATTCAAAATGTAGCATTTTGACCAATAGATGCTTGCCAGGCAGGAATCGACCCTGCCTTGGGCATGCTGGGATGGACCAGAATCTTTAAATCACCTAACTAACCTGGGTACAGGGCTCTAGGCTCCCACCACTTTGGCGGTGGGGGGCATGGGCCCAAGCTGCAGCTTGTAATTTACAATAAAAAGAACCTCATGTATTTACAGTGGAGTCTGTTTATTCCTGGTCTTTTGGGGTTCATGAACTGGGCAGAACACTTAACTATTAATTTGTCTGAACTTATGCTTTAACTCCAAATAGAGATCTGAGGTTTCTTTAACTTTGTCATCCGAATCTTGAAATTACATTGCTTTGTTAACTTGTGTCATTTTATGTCATGTTTACAACATCCCAGCTCATCATTTTTTTTCCTTTTTTTTTTTTTTTTTTTTTTTTTTTTTTTTTTTTTTTTTTTTTTTTATGATTCAGAGTTTTTCTGCGTAGCCCTGGCTGTCATGGAACTTGCTCTGTAGACCAGCCTGGCCTCAAAGTCAAAGATATGCCTGCTTCTGCCTCTTGAGTGCTGTGATTAAAGGTGTTTGCTTCCATGCCTGACTGTGGATCTGTTCTTTAGAAATTCATTAGAATGCATATGTAGAGCTTGGCCTGGATTGCTGCTTATTGGTCATATCATTATAAGAGTTATTAGAGTCAGAGCCTATGCCCTGGAAGCCCTTAACAAGAAAGGATTAAAAGAGAGCTTGGGGTAGTGGTGGCACACACCTTTAATCCCAGCACTCGAGAGGCAGAGGTAGGCAGATCTCTGAGTTCTAGGTCAGCTTGGTCTACATAGAGAGTTCCAGTTTTGCCAGGGCTACAGAAAGAAACATTGTCTCCAAAAATCAGAAAGAGAGGGACTGAGGGAGGGAAAGGTTAGGGAGAGAGGAATTTATTCACCCAATGCGGCTATACTGGAGTGAGATGAGGAACAAGAAAATCAAAAAACCAATGCCCCCTCCCCCCATCTCTGAGGTTTAGGTGTGAAGTAGAAGGCTGAAAGTGTAGCTAAGCAGTCCCATCAAGGTGTGGTTCTGCCTATCACTGATGCTTCATTGTTTCAGCTCCAATCTCTTCTGCAAGATGGTCTGACAAGATGTCAGAAGAATTTCTGGGAAAATTCCAGTCCCAAGTGTCTCTGTAGGCTGTACTCATCCTGCAAGATCAGTTTCAATATTATCTATTGTTTCTTGGCTAGTTTCTACATCATACTTCTGTCTTGTCCACTTCCTTCTACCATCAACAGGAGCTAGAACAGTGCCAACAGGTCAGAGCCAAAGAGTTAGAAGGTAGGGAGCACAAACTGGGTCTGTACTCTGTGTACCACAGAGCCTCTCTGTGAGAGCTACTCTGTAGCTCTGTGGTAGAGCGTTTATTTGGCAGGTAGGAAACCTCAACATCAGTCCTGTGGAGAGCTGCTTGTTAAGCTGCTTTGTTATGTTTTCACCTTGGCCTTCACCTTGAGACAGAGAAAAGAGGAAGTTTTGCCAAGTTCCTTAAAACTTGTTTCAAGTTCCTTAAAGTTTGTCTGTATGACCTTGGACCATAACTGCTATAGGGAAGCAGTTTTAGAAAAGTTTGGTGTTTCCACGAACTTCTCTTTTTTTATTGGTGTGACTTGTTTTTGCTTTGCCTGTAAAAAATGAACCCTGGAATAAACCGAGGCTGCTTCAGTCATACTGACAGCCCTCTCAAGCCGATCCCGTGGGTAGAGTGATTTGTTTTAGTTATTTTAATCCTCACTCCCCACCCAGGTACTGTTCGACTCTGCCAGCAAACTCAGGCACAGTCCTTAGTGCTGCAATAAGTAAATAAAAATAAAAGGCTAAGCTTTCTTCAGAAGAGGCTATATTTACGCAATAAGAATCTAACATATATGACAGTCAAGCTATCGTAGGGGCTGGAGAGATGGCTGTCTTCCAGAGGACCCAGGTCAGATCCGCAGTACTCACTTGGTGGCTCACATCCATAATTCCAGCCACAGTAAATTTGATGCCCTCTTCATGCCCAAGGGCAACATGCCCATACATATAACAAATTATTTTTTAAAGTACATTTATATTACATTCCTACAGCCAAAGCCTTGCTTCAATGTCTCATTATTTCCTGCCTGTAAAATTACATCGCTGATAAATCATTTTTAGGCTCCTAGGCCTCTAATTCATCTTCATACTACCAGGGGCTTGCGCCTCTCCCTTTGGTTAGGGGACTATGAGACAATGAAGTTTCTCTGGGAGTCTCATGCTGGGACAAGGGGAAAGCTGGAGTCCCCGAGTCAGCCAGAGGGAAAGTTGTCTCCCAGGAATAGATCGCATAGTTCTGAAATCTGCTAGACCACTTTGCAGGAGAGGCTAGGTCAATGATGGGTCAGCTTTGGCCTAGACCACACCTTGACCTATTCTCCTTAGTTGTACATCACTATTGCCTTTTACTTAAACCTAAACTTTACATCAGGACCATGAAGACAGACAATGGTTTATTTCTTCCTCTTCCCAAGACCACATTTTCCACAAGACATCCTTTTTCTCCTTTTCATTATTACTCATTTCTTGGATTGGCTACTGAGGAGGGGGGCGGCTGAATCCGTTTTGTCAGGGGTGCCACTTCCCAGGCTCTAACATTCCAAATTTCAACTGTGAATATTTCTCCCAGGTTAGGATCTTGGAGCATGTTCCAGATTGGTTTAAGTAATCTATGTGCTTCCAAAATATTGGGTAAAAACAGTATTGCGATTAGGAGACAGAGCTGTTTCATCACACAACTCAGACTCATTTCCCAGTCTTTGAGGTACCCGAGGATGCTGGAGAAGGCAGAGCTACCCATAATTGCGGATATAAAATACCAGCCTGAGGAAAAACTGAAATAAATAAATAAACAAATAAATAAATGAATAAACAAACAAACAAACAAACAAATAAATAAATAAATAAATAAATAAATAAATAAATAAAAAAAAAAAAAAAGGTCTTCTGGAACCTGAAGGTTTTACTGTGTCACCCCCTTGTGGCCGGCCCAGTTGCCTGCCAGTTTGGTTAGACTAAAAAAGGTCGCTCCCTGTGCGGCCTCTTAGAGCGCTGGGAAGAGCGCATGCGTACAGTCTGCCGGTCAGGTTCATTGAGGAATTCGTTCCCGCAGGAACGGTTTTCCAGGAGACGCTAATTCTTCTTCCTTCCGGTGAGCTGGGCCCGGAAGCGCAGTGTCCGGGCTGCGGGATTGCCGGCGCCTGGTCCCGTTCCTGTTGCTGCCGGGGCGTGGTCGCTGCGGGCCGAGCTCACGCGCGCCAGCCATGGAGGGGCAGCGGGTGGAGGTGGACGGCGGCATCATGGAAGGGGTGAGTGCCGGGTTGCGGGGGCCTGGAGCGAGCCGGGTGGCTTCGTGGGTCTGGAGCGAGCTGTGGCGGCGCGACCTCCATTCAATGTCTTCTTCCTGGTGCTCTGCAGGGCGGCCAGATCCTCAGGGTCTCCACCGCCCTGAGCTGCCTCCTGGGCCTCCCTTTGCGCGTGCAGAAGATCCGCGCGGGCCGCAGCACGCCGGGCCTCAGGTACCTCGGGCCGGAGGGCGGGGAGCCCAGTTGCAGAGTTTGGGTCTGGGGACTGGGAGTCCCGGGATGGGAGCCCGGGTTGTGGGGCGGAGGAGGCCCTTGCTCTCCTTTTCTGTCCTTAGGACAGGCTGCAGGTTGTCCTTACGGAGCACTGAAACAGGGCAGTTTGTCCATGCATTTTGCCGCTGGTGTTTGTATCATCTTCTTTCATCTTCATCCCCC